CCAGGCTCTAGTTTTTTAGGGTCATACCAACCCCTCACCCAATGTCTGCCCAAGTAGGGCCCACAAGCCCATTACTAGACCCAATATAGGCTGATTGCCAAAAGATGCAATTCCAATGCTGGAAACTCATATAATAATATAAAAATTCATTTGCACTCCTAATTATGAAATTTAAAGCTCCAAAGATGGTGTAGATGCAACAAATATATAACAATACAAAATCTTTAAAATTGATAGTGTATATAATATATTTTCAAGACTTGGGATCTTTTTTTTTTTTTTACATCTATGCATCTCTAGCTCGAGATGATGAACTGTAAGGTTTTCTATTTTGTAACAACCATTTCCGATGGAGTTTGAAATTCTTTGCTCCTTGTTGCACCATTGAGAGAGTCCCCTCAATAAGAATGTCTCCCAAAAAACCTCTGGTGACAATGATTTCCAAACCATGCAGGAGAGCAAATTTCAGCTTGATTAGCCGAAATGATGCCACAAGGTCCCGCATAAGAGAGAAAAATTGTCCCTTCATGGTTTCGAAGCAGTCCGCCAACCCCAACACTGAGCTTATGTCAAAATTTAGTTTGAGAGAGCCCACAAGAGGCAGCTTCCAAACTGAATGAGGACGGCAAATGTGGGAGAATCAGATTAACATGAACGTCCTTATTCAACTATACCTGCCCTTCATTATGTTTTACTTGGGAATTTCAAGGAAAAAGCAAAAAATGGCAGGACACTCACTGTACAGTGCTATTGTTGTATATAGATGAAAAAAGACAGTATCTTATTCCACAAATGAATTCTTTTCCTTGGAAATAAGATTAAAACGCTCCCTTCGACCAAAATATACTATTAGTCCCTCATATACCTAGGAATACTTTTCTGATCCCAATGAACGTCAATTTGATGGAATAATTAGATCTAGGACTTATAAAAAGTTTTTCATATCCCAATTTCTGTAGAACCTTATGGAAAAAAATTATATGAAGTTGCAACCTTAAAATGTAGAATTACAAATGCGTTCCATCGGAAAATATTGTTTTAATGTTGAAAAACCCACCCTCTTATTGATCATCTTGACATTGAGATTAATGAATATGAAACAAAACAAAAAAAAGATTTCAAGTTCCAGAAATAGTGCATCTTACAGTACATTATCTAGACCGTCTATTTTCAAGTTTTTCATATGATAATAGATCTACTTGATTAACCATTTTTGGAGCCACACCCATACACATTAGATGAACAATTTTGGAAAACAAAAAGTTGATTTTGAATAGTTAAAGGCCTGGATCTTAATGTTAACTAAATGGATGGTCTAGATTCATTGTTCAAGAGTGAATATAGCTCGACAGGAATTTGGTTTTTGGGACCATTCTATTTTTTATTTTCACATTAAAATAAAAGGAAATAGGTTTTTAAATTTTTTTTAATTTGTTGCTTTTCACATCCTTCAATTCATATCCAAACCCAAGTTTAAACGATTGGGACCCATACATAAAACTGCATTTGGGCATAATTTTTCAAAAAACAAAACATAATAACAACATTTATGAGCAAGAAAAGCCAATTCTCTTTTCCTGCAGTCTTTTTGTCATTGCTCAACCAAATCATCAAAAATTTGATTCTAGATGTTGGTACTAGATTCCTCTCAAAGATTCTTATAGAAATTTGTTGAATTTAAAATCTAAATCAGAAGAATTCAGTATTCAAATTTGGGAGGTTTTTTTAACCCGAAATTTTAAAATCTTTAATTTCTCTCTCATTTTTTGAGTAAAGTTTCTCAAATTTATCCTAAATTGTTCCTATTATACTAATCTGCAAAAGCCCTAACAATGTTTATTTGAATCAAACCAAAAAAAAAAAGCAATTTTGTTTTTTTATTTTCCTATATTTTATCTGCCTTTTATTCTCAAAATATTTTTTTTAGTTGAACTTTTTTATTTTCACTTTGTTTTATATTTCTTATTAGGTGAAATAGAACTACACATTAATTTCAAACATATTTTATATATTTATGTAGTATTTGTAATTTTTGCTTTTTTTCTTTGTTTTTGGTGGTTTGAATCAACCTGACAGACTTGGACCTAGCAGGTGCCTATTTGGAGTTAAACACTAGAAAAAAACTAATTCTAAAATTGAAAATAAAGTATGGGAAATGCAAAAAGTTGACAGGTTTTATAAAGATTAGATAAATTTACCTATTTATGAAATGTCTATTTCACAAATGCCTCATCTATCAGCCAAGAGACCCGAGGCAATGATGCATACTTTCCTATGGGAATCATTTGAGGAGAGGGAAAAATTTCACTTGCTAAGAACTATATAAGATGGATAAATAAGAATTTTGTGCTGATAGGATTAAGGGTTTTCAAACTCATCTTATATGTGGAAAGCAATTTTTTCTCCCATGCAAATAATGGAGAGGAATGTTAGATGGCAGGTTGGTAGAGGGGATAGCCTATTGTTTTGGCATATCAAGTGGCTTGGAGATAAGCCTCTAAACAAAAAAATTTCCTAGCTTTTTGAATGCGTTTCAAGTCCACAAGCCAAAGTGATTGATATGATTTCAATAGTGTAGGGAAAAGTGGTGTGGAATGTTAATCTTCTTTATAACAAATTTCTTAATGTGATTGCGAATCAGTTTGTCTCTTTGATATACAATTTGGAGGAAGTGTATATTTCAAGTTCTGAGAAGGATGACATTGTTTGGGAATTGGAGAATGATGGTCAATTTTTAATTAAATCTGTATATAGAATGTTCTTTCATGATCGATGGAGATGGTTATACCCAAATCTTTCTAAAATTTGGAAGTGACCTATATCTATCTCATAAGGTACAAGCTTTTGTTTGGTTGGCTATGCCAAAAAAAAATCTTAACTATTAATAACCTTGTTAAGAGGGGCATGGTTCTATCGAATGTGTGCTTCATGTGTAAAAATGATGGGGAGTTAGGACCTCACATTTTCTTCTATTGCGCCTTTGCTTTCCGAATTTGGGAATGGTGCCTTCAGTAGTTGGGGATAGCATGCATGTTGCCCTCAAACTTGTTAGACATTATTACATAGTTTTTAATAATTCAATTACCTGAAGAGGGCAAGGAGTTGTAATGATTCTTAGAGATGTGTTATGGGAGACATGGAACGAGAGGAATTGGATGACTTTTGATCGGTCATCATTGCCTTTTGAGTGGGTGTTATTCAATATCAAACCTCCTTTGTAGAGCTAATCGTCTATTTTGAAAGAAAGATGGGGGGAACGAGATTCACATACTAACAAATCTTCCAAATTTGTTTAAGCTAGGTATGGTGAAATGTAAGCCAAAAGTCAAGTGGGTTCCTCAATTGCAAGGTTGATATAAATTGAATTATGATGAGAGCTCTAAGGTAATCCAGATGTTGCTAGAGAAGAGGAAGTGGTGAGAGATCAGAGTGAGAATGTCATGTTTTGTTATGCTGGCCCTTGTGGGAATATAAGTGCCAATAGTAATTGAATTCTGATGAGAGCACTTAAGTAATCCGGCTGTTACTGAAGAAGAGGAAGTGGTGAGAGATCGGAGTGAGAATGTCTGGCCCTTGCGGGAATGTAAGTGCCAATAGTGCTGAAATGGCATTCTTGCTGCAAGGGTTGAAGCTTATAAAAAACAAGTTGATGGGTTCGTAATGTATGGTGCAAGGTGATTTTTTAAATACCTTGGTGTAAGAATGAGCAAATGGATACCATGGCCATTGAGGAAGTGTTGCCTGCAATTGGCTAGTTTATTGAGTTACTATTGGCATTAGAAGGATCACAATGGTCCATAGCCATAAGATGTGAAATCATGCAGCCACGATCTCTTATGGACTATGCTCAAAGTTTAAGAATTTTGTCTCTTTGGACACCCCTAGCGACCCATCTCTTATGGACCATAGTCAAAGTTCAAGAATTCTATCTCTTTGGACACCCCTTGCGACCCAATTTAACATTTTCCACATTTGAATGATTGCACATTTGAGTGATTGCGACCCTTTTCTGCTAAAGAAAATTGTTTTTCTAGCATACAATTATCAACGATCTAAACTACCAATAAAGTGAAAAACCAAAGACAACAACAACACTAGATTTTCAATCTATAAAATGGAGAAAGATCTAACGATTACATTTTATTTTTTTTGCGTGAAAGGATTAATCATTTATTCTTTTCCCCTGCAATAATTTGAGCCTATTTGACAATTAAAGTTTCAAAAAATGCTAGACAACCCCTATGCAACCGGCCTGGCTCTCATAACTTTTGGCGCCCTATTGTATAAGTTACATAGCTAAGTGGTTTATATACATATATTTGTATCAATTTTAGAATTTATTATATTTTAAAATATTGTAACATTTTTTTACATACAAACATACGACCTTGCATGTTGATAAACTTGTTCAAAATTTCTAAATTCAAACCATACAAAACTTAAAAGTCTAATAGGATATGTATCAGTAATAGTCTCCAACTCTCCATATTTCATAATAAGTGAAAAGGTTTAAGAAGCTTCTTCAAACCACAAAAACTACTTTTGATTCTAAAAAACTAGTATAGCTAAGAGATTGAGGGTTTATGGATTTATTTATTTCTAACTTTGGAGGTTGAAAATAAGCCCTATAACCTATTTAAACCTTTTTGAGGGTCAAAATTACCCCATTTTCCTTGGGGTATTTTTTTTTAAAAAAAAACCGACGTCCTGGGCGCTCACCTAGTCCACCTGGGTGCCCACCCAGATACATCCACCCGTGTAAGACCGCCTGGATCTGAACGTGCGGTATTTTGGTCCAGGCTGCTTAGGCGGGCGCTAGGCACCAGGCGGACAGTTTTTTAAAACAATGTTGACAATAACAATCACTTAGCTCGCTCGCTCAACAAACCAAAAAATATCTATCTTAACAAACCATGAAATTGCTGTGCATTTTTTCATTGGAGTTTTCGTTTCACCCAACTCTCCTAATAGACAAATGAAGAAAGAAATTCACAAATAGGCACTACAGGCTGGACTTCCACTAATCCATAGTCCAGACAAATACAATGGCTCGGAGAACTTAGTGAAACTTGTGCTTTCAGCCTATAAAATGGTAAAAGAGTAGCCTCTATCACATATTTACTAAAAAAAATAATTTATTGTCTGACAAGATATGTGAACAAACTCTTCCACTAAAAGACATCAATTGCCGCGATATATTCAAAGTCCAACAAGGTTGAGAAGAAATTCATCCCAAAAAGAAAGACTATATGCGAGAGAAACCCCTCTGGTTCGGACTGACTGTGTTGGGTAAGGCAAATCATCCATATTCTGTTTTTACCAACCATTGCAGTTCCGAAGAAAGGAAGCGGACACTAAAGGTTCCGTCAATGTGCGTGCATCAATAAGGCCGGAATTTCCTAGCAGCTCTCAGCTCCTGAATTCGCTTCTTATCCTGCTCAAATTTGTTCTGCAACATCATAAGCTCTGCAAAAAATAGCAACACAGGTAGATGACCAACCGAACAAAGCCGCACTTCTATTACAATACGTAGTGATATAAAACTTGGCAAGTCCAACAGGGACTCACCCAAGTCCAACTGGGATTCACCCAAGTTACTTGGAAGATTAACGAGTTTGGAACAAAAGCTTCAGGAACTGGCCAGATCTCGCCTGTTCCCAAGGTTTTATTGTTAATAAAGACTTCGCCAAGTCGAGTTGTCTAAGTCAGGTTCAGGAACCTTGACAGTCCGGACCTGAGTACTTGTTTCAAACCACTGAAAACATGTATTTATCAAGAAACATTTAACTAGGCCAATCATAAAATGATCATTAATGAAGAACCAGGCAATTGAGAAGCATATGTTCTATACTGAAATTGTTTCAGCCCCTCCAATGAATGAATGTGCAGTGTTTCAGAGTTCAAAGCATTTCATAGCAGCCCCGGAGCCAAAGATTCAAAACTCAAATCCCATTTTGTTGTCTTTCATTTTTTTTTTATGAATTTCACTTTCTGTTTGGAGAAAGTATTGCCAAATGCCTAAACTAGAAATATTGTCCAAGCTCATATCACAATTTTAAGAGATCGACCCCTAGTATATGAGACATCTATCAAAGAAATTGGAGAAGCATTTCCGATGCAAAAGAGCAAAACAGGGAACACATAAAAGGCACCTTTTATTGTTCCTAATTCCTATTTCCTAAACCAGGCACTTGATGTGGACAACCAACTCCAAGTTGCATGACGTGCATTTAACCATCCAAAGACTGAAATTTTAAGAGTCAAGTCTTTATTATTGAGTTCAAGACCAATTAAATAAGTCAGGCATCTGAACTTTTAAATAATTCTTCTATGTTAGAAGGTAATCAATTTATAGTGTGTACTCTGAGTTGCAGTACTCTTTTTTAACATAATATTGCCCTTATGAGAAAGCAACTCCATTCTAAAACCCTACTATCAATCTTGCATTCAAGAAACATCGGTGCCAAATATATGAAGTAATCACCATTAGCAAACAGACTTGCAAAAATACTAACGAAATGTGTGCGTCAATTCCTGACTATTCATCAAATTAGTTCAGTTATCAACAACTGTTATTTGAGAAAAAAAATTATGATTGCAAAAAATATGCATTAGCATACCATTTCTATGGGCCTCCCGTTTTTGAAATCGGTAAAAATTTAAACCAGCTTCTTTGCTTTTCTTTTTGGCCATTTTATCCATTATAGCCGCCTGAGCAACAGAACCCACAGAAACCCCACTTTCAGCATCAGTTGTCTTTTTTCTGCCTTTGTGGTGTACCACAACAGTCCAGCCACCTGCTGCAGCTTTCTCCTCTCTCTCCTTCCTTGCCTGCAAAAATTCAGAAGACATATAACAGGACAGAAGAGACAAGAAAATATCAAGGATATATTACACAATACAGGTGTATAATATACATGGAGTTAAGGAAGCCATATGGCAAAAGCCATATGCAGGGCCATGAGTTAAGTCAAACTTAAGATGGGAATACGTAAAATTTCAGCCTAAATCAATATAACCACAGATTCAAAGAGAGTGAAATTGATTCATGTAAGTTAATATACTAGACTGAACAGGGACTGAATTCAATCAATGTCACCTTTTCTTCCTGTGCCTCGTGTTCAGCAATAAATGCATCAATTCTCTGCTGCAAGACCTCCAAACCCGGTCTATGGCAATGGTATTCCATGATCCACTCTGTTGCATAGAAAGCAAAGGAGTCTCAAAATGCTTATATATTTACATAACTAATTATGTATAACACACACACGCACACACAAAAAATGTGCCCTATATGCATCCAGTGTTTGTAAAGCTAAGAATAAAAATATACAAAAAAAAAAAAAAAGCCAATATGAAGGCTTGCTATCAGCATGAAGCAAAGTTTGCGATGGCATACAAGAAGCAGAAGCGATTACAGCCATTTTACAAGGTTAAATGCCAATATATGCCTTTTTTTTAGAAATGTTCACTATAATTATATTACCGAGTAAAAAACGTACACAAAATCCAAGGGGTATAAAAGAAACAAACAAAATTACAACTCGAAATAGTTGGAAGGTAGCACTGCAAAAATCCAAGACCCCACCAGGGTGTTAGAATTAGCTCCCTCACGGGCAAGGTGGTCAGTGTCGAAGTTAGCTTCCCAAAATGTATAACACCAAGAGATTGAGATATCCTGAGTCAAGTGGGCTATCTCATCGAATATATTGTCCAGAAGCCACAGCCAAGGGGAGACTCCCGATGCTCACAAAATGACATTTTGGGAGTCTCCTGGCACCACTAGGGTGGGGCCCCAGGTAGTTTGAAATCTACGGAGGCCTTCTAAAAGGGCATTGGCTTCAGCTAGAGTTGAATCCGCAAAGCCTATGGGGCAAGAATGAGCTTGCAAGATCTGACCAACAATAGAGCAAAAGAGGCCTCCTACTTCAGAGGGTGCCGGGGTGCCAAGGAAGCACCCGTCAAAATTCAGCTTGATGGAACCTGGCTTGAGTGGCCTCCAAAGAGATGCTCTCGAGTTCCTACGGCTGACTACCTGAATTAAGTTGTCCCAGTTCCTATAGAAATCAGTGTAGGGGCAGTTCTCGAACAATCTATGATTTGTGGCTCCAAATGCCACTAAGTTCCTAATAAGAACCTACTTTTCCAGCCCAAGATACAACAAATGTTGCAAGCCACCGATGTGCATAGGAACTTCTTATGAGACCCATAAAGGAAGGCAAGAGAGGTGATCCTATTCCGAAACTCTGAAATGAATAGAGAAGTGTATGAACTAGAAAAGGTTTCAAGATATATTAAGATAAAAGATTTGGTCAGCATTTTCAGTTTAATTCACATGAATATGACATTAACAATAAAAAATCTGCAGATATGTGTGATTTAAAACTGAGTGCCTTTAAAGTAGTCTGCAAATCAAACCTCTAATTCCCCGTAGTACCCCATTTTCATTACTTTTCACTCTTTGACACATATAACCGGATGTTCCATTCGAACATATGATTTCAGTTATATATACATAATGTACATTCATACATACATAAACACAAAACAAAAGAATACAGTTTTAGTAACATAAAATTCCCACACAATCTCATGCAATGCGCACGGCAAAGAGCTACTACAAACATCATGGGAAAAATGTATAGCAAAGAGCTATTGCAAACATCATTAGAATTACTTACTATTCCAAACATCAAAAATGTGTATAGAATAGAGCTATAGTAAAAATCACAGAAATGCAGTAATGTCTTGACATTTTTCAACATTGCAAAACAGATATACATACTTTTCATTCCTCTGGAACAGTCTTCATCCCCAGAAGAAATCTGATCAACTTGCTCAACCTCAAGTAGGGAACCCTCTTGTGATACAAGATTACTTGCTTCACCGGTATGGGAAGCTTTGCTGCCTTTGTGTTCAGAATGACTTGAATGTCTCGGTAGTTTAACATCGGCTGGAAATTTATAGGACAAATATCAGCAAGGGGTGAAAAGCATGACGTAAGTCTACAGGCAGTTATGAGCTAATGAGTGGAATTTCCATGGAAGAGGTCAAGCATAGGTGAATCAACAATTAACAATTAGCAAATGGTACTTTCATGACTAGTTCATGCCAGGTGAAAAGAAAAGACTCTATGATTTCAGTGCTCATTTTTTTTTTGGAAGTGAACTTTCAGTTATCATAATTTTAGAGTTCGACAAGTAATACAATGGAAATGAAATTGCATTTCAACCGAAAGAAGAGTGGCACTCTGTTAGAGAAGGGAGACATAGACGAAAGAAATAGAGGAGAGGAAGGGAGAGTAACCTGAGAGTCCCAATTGCGTCTCATGCAAAAAATAGTGAAAGGGCAAGACTGCCCATGCAAATTGAAATAGGACATATAGGTCTTATTAGCTTAAAATAAAAGAGAAACAAGGATTACAAAGGACTTTTAATACTCCCCCATAGATGTCACCCATGCCCAGCTTGAAACAAATTGTTTGAAACAGATTATGACCAAGATCTTTGATGAAGATGTCTGCCAAGTGATACTTAGATTGGAATAGATACCTGCTTAATAGTGACCTTCTCTCGAATAAAATGACAGTCTATTTCAATATTTAATTCTCTCATGAAATATTGGATTGCTAGCTATATCAGTTGCAATTTAATTATCACAATACATCTCCATAGGTTCATTAATAGTAAATCCCATCTCCTGCATCTATGTCTACAACCAGTCAACCACATCAATTCACATGTAGTATGTGTCATTGCTCTATATTCGACCTCTACACTTGATCAGCCACAACATCTTATTTCTTACTTCTCCATATGACAAGATTTCCACCAATAAATGTACAATAACATGTGGTAAACCACCTGTCAGATGGAGAACATGCCCAATCAGCATCTGAGTGACCCTCAATAGTCAAATGATTATGTGATTTATAAATCAAACTTCTATCTGCAGCTCTCTTTAGAATCAAAAACAAAAGCCAAATGTAAAGAGATGTCAAGACATCATATTGGATTCTAGCAACGAAATTGTGTCGACATAGAGTTATTCACAAAGAACGCCGTCACTGCCAAGGGCATCAGCCTCTTGGTTAGCTCCCTTAATAATGTGCCCCAAATTCACATTCTTACTGTCATAAAAAACAAAGATCTCACCACAAATCCTCCATAGAGTACAGGATTCTTTATAGGCCCATCTTAAGACATTGAGACAATACCCTTCTAGTACTAGTCAACTTCTTAAATTGCAGGGACAGATCCATAGACCTCTAAACATTCCACGAGCCTCTGCTAATGTAGAATCAGTAGTAGAGAGCTAAAAAGAAAAGGATCACATCGATGATTCTAGCAGTTTACAACTTATATATGCAACAAAGAATGTAGAATGACTAAATAGCCTCTAATGAGGGGAATAGCTTAAAGCACCCTCTAACAATATACAATAAGACACTTTTACCGTTACAACATTAATCACATCATAATAAAGGATTTGACATCTTTTTCTCGGCTTAATCAAGCCAACCAATCATCTATGAGACCGATGTTTTTGGAGCATCTTTCAGTTTTCTATTTGTTTTGATCAATTTTTAACCTGTGTCAGTCTAAGTTCTAATCAATTTCAGTCTAGTTGTAACATGTTTCACTGTCGTATTACGATATTAGGACCGGTGTTGTGTTTTGACTAAAACACATGAGTGGCTTGTTTTCATCTAATAACAATTTTGCCCAACACTGGTAACCATGTTTTCAAAGATACACCCTAAAGGTAGATATAAGGAAATAAGATATCTGTTCATTGAAGCTAGGGTGTTTAGGTTTCACCATTTGTTTAGGGAAACTAAGGAATCATTATATAGAGTAGCACTTAAAGATGGGTAGGAAGGATTGCACTTATGGGATTGAAGCCCCCATGTGTGACAGCCATCAGCACTTTGTCATCATCATGATCATTATAGCTTTTCTCCAATTAATTGGGATCGGCTACACGAATCTTGGTCCGCCATTCTGCTTTATTAAAGATCATACCCTTAATGAAACCACAAGTTCTTATATCTTTCCGAACTACATCCAACCACATTCTTTTGGGCCTACCCCTTTCCCTTTTAAGTCCTTCCACTTGAACTAACTCACACTTCCTAACAAGTGTTGTACTTAGTCGGTGCCACACATAGCCAACCCACCTAAGTCTACTCTATCTCATCTTATCACCTATTGGTGCCACACCTAAATTCTCCAGAATGGATGCATTTCGAATTCTATCCCTTCTTGTCCTGCCACTCATCCGTCAGCACCTTGTCATATGTTTTGGAAACCTTTGGAGCCATAACATCTTTAGTGACAGAAGCCATATATTCTCAAATTTCATATTTTTGTGCTTTTATTTCTTTTTTCACCTTCCCTGTTACTTCAAATATTGGTAAAAAAGGTGGCCCAAAAAAATTTGATATTTTTAGAAAAGCATTTGAACACTTTTGTCAATGTTTGATGATATTCAGACAAGACATCGCTTGATGTTAGATGTCAATGTTATATCGATTTCAATTTCTGAACAAATCCACGTGTTTTAGACAATGATCAATTCTAGCCCTATGTTGGGTGATTGAAGACTCATTCTTTATAGACTTGTCCATTTTAAGAATAATAGTGATGCTAATAATAATGACAATGACGATGATGATGTTTAATCATAATAATAAGAACAACCACCACCACCACCAAATTGGGCCCTCTTTGTCTAAACAACATGTTTACATTCATATAAAATTATACAAACTTCATCAAACTTCCAGTTAGAACACAAACTACAACAACCTGAAAACCCTAAAGTAAATTCCCATGCTTTTGAGTCTTTGTTATTGGGAAACATGATAACTCAGTGTTCATCATATGAGGAAGTAATTCACATAAATTCCAATATATTAGTAAATATTCCTCAAAATAATATGCATATACAATTCATGACCAACTATAAAATTGAGCAACGGCAATTGAACAAAAAGTGAGACTTCACTTAACAGTAAATCAGGTAAACCAGTATTTCATGATTTCAGATCAAGACCATGAGAAAGAACCATTAAAGTTATATTAATATCAATGGCATGCAAGATAATACAAAATATTGTAACTTGATACTGAGGAATTAGCCAACATACATTTCGGTGTTCTTGTGCCAATTCCTCTCACGATCAGATCTACTTTCTCTGCAATCTCAACCTCACTTCCCTTTCCCTTGAATTTTCTTTTATTCTTCAATGACAACTTGTCCTTTTTCTTTTTCTTTTCTGCTTTACTCATCTTAATATCTAATGAAAACAAGTAACCAGAGCATGAGATTATCATAGTTTTCCAGTCACTCATTAATCTGCTATCTTGAATCCATGGATGCATGGATAGATGTCTCAAATAAATGAACATTCACTAACTCACCACCAATATCTTCATCACAATCAGCAGTGATTTTCTCAGTTTGAATTTCAGAATAGCCAGAACTTTTAGTATGACCTGTGGAAAGTATGCGATCAACTAAAAAGGAAATTTTTCTCATGCTGCATAGACAAACTTTGGAAGCCAATGTACTTGAAACAGAAACCAGTGAAAGGAAACAATAGAAACTTATTTGCTTTATGCTATTCCTAAAATAACAATCAAACAAATAAAGAATAAAACAATGACAACAAGGTCTCCAAGTCAATAGTTGTGAGTAAACATTTCATGAGCACTAAAGAAGTCAATTTAACAGCAAATTATAAGTGTCAGCAATCTATTCCATGTGTCACGAGAAACACCAGTGGAGTAACAATGCTTTCATCAATCATATGAAACAAGCACCTTTCACCATATGCCTTCAAATGCACAAAACATGAGTGACAAAGTTTATGAGATAGGATAGACTAATAATCTCAATAAATCATTAAGTCTCTTGGTGTATAAAAGTCAATCAAAAAAAGTAAATGACCAACAAAATCTGTTTTCCATTATACGGCATCAAAACAAAAGAACACTGTCCGCAATATGACATACTTGCCATGCAGCTTGTGCAGTTCCCATCCTCTGGTATATTTTCATAGACTTTGAGGGCTTCAGTGCCATTTTTCTTTTTTGTTAATTTCCTTTTCTTCTTCAATTTCACATCATCATTTTTACCACATTTGTCTGCTCTTCTAGCCTTCTCTAGAAACACCAAGTACACAAGCACCCAATTATATTACGTTTTAACTACCATCTTATTGAAATATTATCAAGGAATACAAGACATAGTAAAAAAATATAAACCCTTGGCATACTTACTATTTGAAAGGTCAGCTTCATTGTGTTCTTCATGAGGGTCCAAATCATTATTCCCATCTTCCCAAAGTTTGGAATGGCGAGAATATTCCACATCACCACTGGCTTCTACAGCATCTGCCAGTAGTTTGTACGTAAAATTACAGTAAAAATATACTTGTGCCTTTATAATAGTAACTGGATTAAATGAACATACTTGAAAGGACAATCGCATAGATACATCGAAACTTGGAACAGTCGCATTAGGGAAATCATGTAAGTCCAATTTTTAAATAGTTTTCAACAATATACCTTATAATTTCAGTTTACATCAATAGAAAATTCAACTATATCTTCTTAAATAAAAAATCATGGGATGAAACAGCAAAGAAGATAACTCCAGTTTGAAAGTAATAAACTGGCTTTAACTTTAAAATAGAAACCACCATAATGCTCCTTGGAGCAAATAAACTCAAGAAACTAACTCTCGTTTTGATCAAGCAATTTTCATGTTTAATCCAATGGCCCACATTACCTGCTTCATCTCCCACATTGGGTAAATTCCTTTTCTTATTCAGCTTCAAACCATTCTGTTTCTTGCATTCTGCTCCATTCTTTGCCTTCATCTGTGAAAACTAAAGTTAGAAGAACGGCACCAAATAAGTATGTAATTCCATGTGAAAGGATATGTATCTCATTCAAGTTAATAACAATTCCTAATTCAAGCCCTCAAATCTATAACAGACCCAACATTTCAATCAAAAAACAAACAAAAATAATAAGAATAACAGACCCAGATGGTGCCTTGAACTTAAGTTCAAATCTTTGCTGATTTAAACATCTCATATGAATTATGCATCATTCTATTGGAGAAACAGAATATAGACATTAGAAATTACCAAGAATTTAGACAAGAATTAGACAAGACAATACAGAAAATATCTCATTATAATTTCAACTTCTGAAGTGTCTTTTGATTGTCCTTACATTGAACAAAATATACTTTGGAAATCATGAAAAGAAGTCAAAATCCCTAAAATTAAATGAACTACTTGATATCAATTTATCTTACCAGATTTTTAAAATTCTTGTATTCAGTATCTCAGAGTAAAAAAAAAAGGAATTCCAATAAAAGATCCAGAGAACAAAATAACTGAGGTTCAAGCAGCTGTCATACTTTTGGACAAGGTATAACATATAACACGTTCTAGGTGCTAAGAAAACATAAATTATCCTTGTGCATTAAACTTATTGGTATAAGGTATCGATTCCGACTTTGGATTCCTTTTTTTTTTTTTTTTGCTATATGCTTATATGTGTCCAACTAGACAAGCATTTTCATATTATATTACAATCTTCATCTTGCGAATTCCTATCTGTACAACCATAACACAGTATTCCATTTGTAGCCGCATGGATGTGTCATCCCAATTGTCACGACCTTCGAATAGCGCAAAGAAAAACCAGGCTCATCTCTCACATGGCACAATCACCATACATCACATTTTCAATGTCTCTTATATCCAAGATACACCTCTTAATGCTCATCATTCATATTCATTTTACTTTCCATGTTAGTTTATCTATCCCACAAAACCTCTGGTCGTTCATATCTTTGTTCTCACCTCATTATGTTAATATTCTTATTTCCAAATAGCCACATGTTCAAATTCATTTACAGCCTATTATTCGCTTTTATAATGCTAACTTTTTTTAGCCAAGCTCAAGATTATTCTGATCCAAGAAATAAAGTTCCCAACTAGATTTTTCCACCAACACCCGTGTCATATAATTTTGATTTCCACAAATATGACACTTGTGAAGCCCTTGTGCCTGTCATTCTCTACTTGACATTACCTCTCCCCTAAACACAGCAAATGCCCAAGAGTCTCGTCATACTCAACCGGAAAAGTATTCTTCTATTTCCTTTCTTGAATGACTAGAATAATTTAGAATATATCAGATTGCTTCCAGTGACGAAACTTTCTCAATTCATTCCAATAATATCATCTTTTTTACCACAAAATATTGGGTTACGGCTACTACAATAATACTGCAAGCCAACTATGAGATTTGCAAGATGAAAATTTCCTTCTAATGGACGCATGCCTTTCATATCGACTCTTTTCATTACATCACATTTTTACTCATAGTGACAAATCCTAAAGAATAACATATATAGTCCTCCAAATATTGAAAGGATAAAAAGGAAAAAAACAGTGCCTTCATAGCATTTTCTCTGAGATTTTAGAAATTTAACTAGTTATTACTTTGCCACGTATGCTCCACTAACAAGCATGAACACCATGACTACCAACTATATAGCCAAAAGTGCACATTACTTACAATTCATCAAAGCCATAAACAATGCAATTGTGAACCATGTAGGATTTTTCTGGGCTCTAATACGTGCAAAAATTGCTGCAAAACAAAAACACCTCTACACATAGAGAAAGAGAAAGAGGCTTATGAAATATTAAATTGTACATTTCAATGATTACACACTCATAGGCATTAAATACACTACTCAGTGTACACTCTTTCTTCATTTATTACACTCTCTTTCTACAAAAACTACATACTCTCTCTTTCTTCTCACAACTTCTCACGACACTCACTCTTTTATCTCACCACAATCAGGTACTTCACACCTCACCACTCACCTCCTACTTATGCTTTTGCTCACTTGATGCTTACTTGAACCCATCGCACCCCTTTTTATAGCTTCATAAACCGCCCTTCTACATGATGTAAAATGGGTCACACAGTCCTTTATTCACTTGATTAATGGAAATTCACATTATTGCTTATTTACCATGTAACAAAGACATTTTAATAACCGCCTTTTAAAATATTTCTCTAAAGAGAGAATGAGTTGAACAAAGATGGAGCCACGTGTTGTTCCATCAATTATCCCCCTCAACGTTGGCTCCTTCTGATTATTCCGAGTTGTTCTTTGCAAATGAATGAATTTTGTGACGGTAAGTTCTTTTGTAAATACATTAGCAACCTGTTCCTTTGTCTTGATTGATGTCAGTGTGAGTTACATTCGATGATTATATACTCGTGAGCATTAAATATACTGCCCATTATACACTCTCTCTTCAATTATTACACTTTCTCTTTCTACAGGGACTATATACTCTCTCTTACTCCTCATTACTTCTCATGTCACTTACTCTTTTGCTCACACCAAACTCAAGTGTCTTACACCACACCACACTCAAGTACCTCACCACTCGCTAAATTGTTGTAGCAACACGTGGCTCCTTTGTTCAACTCATTCTCTCTCTAAAGAAATCTTTTCAGAGGCGTTATTAAAAATGACTTTATTACATGGTCAAAAAAGAGGGTAATGTGGACTCCCATTAATCAAGAGAATAAAGGACCATATGGCCCAGTCTACACCATGTAAAAAGGCAGTTCATGAAGCTATAAAAGGGGTGTGATGGGTTCAACGAACATCAAGTGACGGTTATCAATCTGACCCTTCATTTGCATCAAGTGAGCATCAAGTTAGCAAGAGAAGGTTATCAATCTGGCCCTCAATTTGTGTTTGCTAGGTCCTCCAATGTGATTGGCGGGTCGCTCGTCAATCTCTTCCACCAGGAAGCTCTGTCCAAGGCTGATTAGCTTCACAGCATCTCAATGTTCACATAAAATGGGCCTTGACAAAACCCGCTTTGATACCGATTGCAAGATTTTTCTAGGCTCTAATACATACCGAAATTCCTTCAAAATAAACACACCTCTTCATGTAGAGAAAACAAAAAGGGGCTCATGAAATCTTAAATACTTCATTCAACAATTACACTCATGGGCATTAAATACACTACTCATTACACACTCTTTCTTCAATTATTATACTCTCTTTCTACACAGACTACATAATCTCTTTCTTTTCACTAATTTTCATATCACTTCCTCTTTTTCTCACACCACACTCCAGTATCTCACACTTCACCACTCACTTCCTACTTATGCTCTCTTGCTCACTTGATGCCCACTTGAATCCAACGCACCCCTTTTATAGCGTCATGGACTGCCCTTCTACATAGTGTAGAATGGGCCACATGGTCATCCATTCACTGATTCAAGGGAGTCCATGTTACCTCCTTTTTTGTCATATAACAAAGTCGGTTTTAATAGCCACCTCTTAAAAAGTTTCTCTAGAGAGAGAAAATGAGTTGAACAAAGAAGGAGCCACATGTTGCTCCAGCAATTCTCTCCCTCAACACTGAATTCTTCAGATACTAAGTTGTTCCCTGTGATGAACAAATTTGTGATAGCAAGTCCTTTGGTAAATATATCAGGTAACTTGTTCATCTGTCGTGATTGGTGCTAGTGTGAGTTACATTCAATGATTACACACTCATGGGTATTAAATACACTATTTATTACACACACTCTCTTCAATTATTACATTTTCACTTTTTATGCACACTACACTCGCTTTATTCTCACTGCTTCTCATGTCACTCACTCGTTTTCTCACACCACACTTTAGTGCCTCACACCTCACCACTCACCAAATGTTGCTCCGATAATTTAATGAGTAGTGAGTTGTGAGGTACTTGAGTGTGGTATGGTATGAAGTACTTGAGTGTGGTATGAGAAAAAGCGTGAGTGAAATGAGAAGTAGTGAGAAGAAGGAGAGTTTGTAGTGCGTGTAGAAAGAGAAAGTGTAATTATTGATGAGAGAGACTATGTAATGAGTACTGTATTTAGTGCCCATGAGTGTGCAATCATTGAATGTAACTCACACTAGCATCAATCAGGACAGAATAACAAGTTGCTGATATATTTACAAAACTACTTACTGTCACAAAATTTGTTCATTACATAAAACAATTCAGAATGATCAAAAGAAGCCAATGTTAAGGGCGAAAATTGTTGGAGCAACAAGTGGCTCCTTCTTTGTTCGACACGGTCTCCCTCTATAGAAATATTTTTAGAGGCAATTATAAAAACTGACTTTACTAAATGGTAAAAAAGGCAGTAATGTGGAGTACCACTAATCAAGACCATGTGGCCAATTATACCCCATCTAGAAGTGCAGTCCATGAAGCTATAAAAGGGGTATCATGGGTTCAAATAAGTATCAAGTGAATAAGAGAGCATAAGTAGGAAGTGAGGGGTGAGGTGTAGTGAGAAAAGAAGTGAATGATGTGAGAAGTAGCGAGAAGAAAGAGAGAGTGTGTAATCTATGTACGAAGAGAGAGTGTAATAATTAAAGAGTGCGTAATGAGAAGAAAGAGAGAGTGTGTAATCTGAGTAGGAAGAGAAAGTTAAAAATTAAAGAAAAGAGTGTGTAATAAGTATTGTACTTAATGCTCATGAGTGTGTAATTATTGAATTTAAAGAGCCTAAAAAAACCCTACAAACCAACACATCTATACTTAAAATCCAACACATCTATACTTAAAATATGTAAGGTGCCACGAAACAAGCATATTCAAGGTAAACATTTCAAGAATTCAATCCACCCAAATTCAGGGAAATAGCAAAGCATAAAAGGAAAGATTAAAAAAATGCACAATAATTGTGAAATTCATCCATAATCAAATTGGAGACAAAAATATAGAGACCATTAAGCTGAAAAATAAGTACATAACAGTTTAAACATAACAAGAACTAACCACGAACCGTCAATTAAATAACTAGATAAAAAAAAAAGGAGGATTAATAATTCAGAGATAGAGTTTCAACAAAGAACAAATGCGAGTTACCTCCTCAGCAATCACTTGTTACTCAAAACAGCTCAAATCAGAAGCTGCAAAACCCATAAATCAATATTGATAAAAAGATAACAAAGTTAATTTTAAACTCACACATCAAAAAGCAAAAAAAGTGCATTTACTTTAAACTTTTGACAACAACAAAAAATGGTAGACATAGAGGTTCCTTCAACTCAAAAACTGCCAAACCCGCAAAAGGCAAGTTTCAGGAAATCGACAAAAGAACAGGAAACTTATATCAGAGAGAGGAAAAAAAACTCAAATTTTTCGGAAAAAGAACGAAGAACAGCAAAGATATATTGCAAAAATACATTGAGTTCTCTCGAATACTCACGGTTCCTCACCCACTACACGACCAATTGGATTCAAAAGCTACAAAACCTAAAACACAAGTTTCAGGAAAATCGATCAAAGGAAAACTGCACAAAAATTAATACTGAGATGAAGATAAAACACAAAAGCATAAGTACCATGGATAAATAGAAATCAGAATTCTATAGCTGAGCGTGCTAGGCGGCTGATTAATGACACTGTAACGTACCACTGTTTTAAAAGTCGCCGAAATTTCGACTAATTTCGGCGACAAGGAGCTACTTAGGGCTTCCTGCGACAAAGGCTAATCGTTGCGGTGAATTTATTGTGGAAAAATTTTACAGGAATATTATGGGTTGGGCACCATGGGTCATTTTTGTGTCCTACAACCAGTAAGGTGCACCACTGAGGAAGCCTTTAAGATCTTATAATGTCTTGAAAATCTATTCTCATTATAAATTTTAAAATTTTGAAGGAACGGTAAATCGAGCATATATATAAATACATGAAAATATAAAAATAGGTGTTCTAGATAACTTATTAAATAGTAGTTTAGTAAAAAATATATTATTTTTAAAATTTTAAAAGTAATGTAGATCGAGCGCATATATAAACACTTAAAAATATGAAAATAGATCGTCTAGATAACTTATTAAGACCTAAATTTGTTTTTTTCTTAATATTCATATATCTTGAAGTTGAATTAGAAGGTAAAAACACTCTTTCCTATTCAAAATTTTATATGCATTTAATTTCTATAGCATAAGGTTGCCACTTTATATAATTTTTTTTAAAAAAGGCCATTTGGAGCCTGAAAATATATTGTCTGATAAATATATTATTCGTGTAACACATTGCTGGCATAATACATTACCTGCAAATAAATTGTTATTGTTTGGATAGTATCTAGATGCAACCTTGAATTGCAAATAAATTGTTATTGTTTGGGTAGTATTTAGATGCAACCTTTAAAATATATGGCTATTGTTTGGCTATGTCTAGAAAAAAACTTAGAAATACATTACCAACATTTTGATTAAGAAATACTGTGTTAATTTTATCTAAAGTAAAATGGTTTTTTGAATACTTTTTTTCCTTTTAAGGATAAATAATCAATTAAAACTACCCTCTTTTTTTTTTTTAATATATGAAGACAATATCCACCTCGGTTAATTTTATCACTTTTCTCTCTATAATTCGCCTGCTAAAAAACTATCACTACTTTATGTAACATTCTAATAAAATGTTGCCCAACTATCCCACTTATGGATCTGTTACGCAAAAATTCATTGACATTCAACTATTAAAAAGTTGAGAAAATAGTTAGAATTTTTCTTATTCAGTTGCAACCAAACAAAGATACATACAACAAAAATGAAGAAAAAAATTGGGATAAAGGGACTAGGACTGGATGAAGGAGTTCCCTAGCAGTAGGATGAATTACCCCACTCCTTCCTCAACTAACCAATCAAAGATATTGATATTCTATGAAATACAGCAGAACGAACCCCAGCTGAGCAAATGCAAGGGATGATTTCTTCCATAAGGTCACCCAAACTCAAGGCACATGGATTCCTGCCTTGCCAGTTAATGATATTAATTGAAGGAAAAAATTTATATAGAACTGAGGTTCTAAACAATCTAAATTAAAGCCCACCTCAAAAATTTCAATAGAAAAGGTTGTTTTGATGCCCAAACATCTTCAAATTGATAATCTCGACATCAAAATGTAAAGACATGATAAAAAAATAGATTTCAAGTTATGGAAATAGTGCATCTTATAAAGCATTTTTTGGACCGTCAAATTTTAAGGCTTTCAAGTTTTCATAGATCTGCTTGATCTGTACTATTTTTTAAGCTTTAAATTTTATTTATAATTAAATATAAAAATATATTTCAAGGCCATTACAAATATTTCCAATATTGAAACCATATTTTTCGACACTATTTGAAAATGTCCTTTACTTTGATTATTTATAGCCTCGGTTTTATACAAACCGCACCCTTAATTGAAACCACCTCCACTGAAAATGGCTAAAGAACATGCAGAAGAATACTCTCAAGCCGGTCAACAAGGTGAATGCTTCGTTCAAGGTTTACTACAAAACCCAACAAAGTCTTTGTGTTGAGGATGTAAATCTGGAGATTTCTCTTAATATAACATTTTGCACCTTCCCAAAACATTATCACCGTTTTAGATTATTTGCAGACGCTCAAAAGGAAAAGTACGAAAGAGCAAAAAACCATTTCTACTTAATAATTTTCCCTTAAAAAGTACTCCCACCCAAGAACACTAAACTCGACCACTAAAAGGTCTTTTAAGTAGGCAATGATTCTCCTAATTTCAATAACAAATCATACATAACCACCTTTGTATGAACAAAACAAGCATAAAAAACCCAAAATCTTTATATCATATCATTTGGATGCCCCAATATTCTACAACTAGAGAAAAATCTCCATAGAAAAACAAAAAAAAGAAGAGAAAAGAACAAGAAGAAAAAGAAACCACAAATGAAAGAAAATTAATAAACAAGAGTAATCATACATAGTGGAATAAAGACTTTGGATAGCAAAATTTTACTAAACTACTTTTAAAACGTAAAATCGTTGCGGAAAATAACCGGAAACATTAAGAAGTATTCAAATTATCACGAACCAGATGAACACAATGTAAAACACCTTTTACAAGAAGACACATGAATCTAGAGACTAGGCGAGTTCATGTACCTTTAAAGTTTTTGAGAGGAAAAAGAACTTCTTCAAAGAAAATTGTGCTCCATTACCATATATATGGTAGTACAATAGCAAAAAGTACAACTTATATACAATTTATACTGTCAGTACTTTCCTATTTATTGCACTATGTTATATACACTTATCTATCTCGTTATATTCTTTCAGAGTTTCTTTGCCTGTGTTGTGCATAATTTATCAATATTTATGTCTTGTGGCCTTTTTCAAAAATTGGGAGCGCTAGATTTTATCTCTATTACTGAAAACAAGATGCAGTAATATTGAGTATAATAATGAATAAATCAAACAAGTTTATGTTTTTATGTAGACCTCTTTGCCATGAGTATATGTGTTTGTGAGAGATAATGTATATAAATCCCGCAATCGATAGATACCCCTATCTCCATTACAAACTCTTGTTTTTTTTAGAATAGAAAATTAGACCGATAGCTAACACTCAGATGGTGCTGCTACCATGACCTCAACCCCATTCCCGCAATGACAAACAGTTAGATGTGCCATTTCTCCCTTCAAAGTTAGTTGATTATTTTTATAGATCGTTCCTAGTTGTTAATACTTGATGGTTGGCGGATTGCTAAGTAAATGAAGGAAACTCAAACGATGACATGCTATAAGATGCCCTGCCATAACCTGTGTTTTTTATTTTTATTTTAGACCAAAGGATAATTTTAGCTTTATCTTGTTAAGCCACAATAACCGCAAATCTTTGCCTGTAAAATTAGAGGCTTGGGGTGCATCACTCTTTTGCCAAAAGCTTGAAAAAAATTTATCAGTTTTTGAGCAAGGTCAGCAGTATGGAAAAAGTTTATATAAACATAACTTAAAATATAGAATTAAGGTACATCTCAATTTTTTTTTTTGAAAAATGTTCTTTTGATGTTGGAAAAACATTTAATTAATTATCTCAACATCGAGTTACATGAATATGGAGCAAAGATAGATTTCAAGTTTCAAAGGTAGTACATCTTGCGACACAATATCCGGATTGTCCAATTTTAATATTTTTATACATTTATAGATGCTGCTTGATTTAAACTATTTTTAAAGTTCAAAATTTTATAATTAGAGATAACAATAGATTGTCGCACCATTCTAATAATTTTTTATACAAAAATTGACATCTTATAATAAAATTTAGAGGTGCGCCTTACTGGTTGCAAGTTGCAATCTTATACAAAATGCAAATCCTTAGCTCCCTCATTTGATATTGGTTCCTGGGGTAATTTTGAATTTTTTTATTGTACAAATGTAAACATCATTGTTTACTTTCTATATTTCAGGAAAAATATAAAATGTTACAGTTTACAAAGAGATCACATTTATTGATATTGTTAGATGTGAAAAGTGTGTTGATTCCTTTCAAAATCATTTTTTTTAGAGCTTTACGATACATGTTTAGTTGCTGAATTCACATCTGGGTGCCAAAAACGATTTGAAATTCCTTGTAAAAAAAATAAAGGAGAAAATTTATATAAGGGTGAGGACTCAAACAATCAAATTAAGGCATGCCTAAAAACTTCACTATTAACGGGTTATTTTGATGCTCAAACATCATCAAATTGATCATCTCAACTTTAAGATGTATGGACATGAGAAAAATTGGATTTCAAATCTTAAAAATAGTGCATCTTGTAATGCATTTTTTGAGCCATCAGTTTTCAAGATTTTCAAGTGCCAATAGATATGCTTGATCTACACTCTTAAGCCTTAAATTTTATAATTAGAGATAAAAACAAATTTTTAGGTCATCATAATGTGTTTTAGTACTGAATCGATATATTTTGACAGTATTTGAAGGTGTGCTGTACTTTAACTGTTTAGGGCCTCAGCCTTATACCCAAACCACCCCGAAAAATAAATCGTATTGCAAGTATATAATCCCATTATTTGAATCTTAACGGTGATGTGATGCATCCATACCTTCTTCTAGCACACGCTCTCTCCACCATACCCTACCCTGTGCAGGAAAATCCAGTGTACACGTCTTGTGTATGACTCAATACACACACGCAGAAAATCTCCTCTCCCTTCAGGAATCGGACGATCAATATCAACCAATGTACGGAAATGAAAGAACTAGGTCGGTAGAGACTCATCTCTGCCGTTTACTTTCCGAATAAACGGTAAATTACTCAGGGCGTGTACCTTAGAGTGCGCGCCATTTTGTTTATTAGCAGAAGGGGCGTTATAGTCATTTTTGAAAGAAGAAACACAACCCTCGGTCTTCTTCAGATCATTCGGCCGACGAGACACAGGGGAGTAGCTGGTTGAGCATTCTCTGGAACTTAGAGAGAGAGAGAGAGAGATTTTAGAGAGAGAGAGAGGGAGATTTCAGAGAGAGAGAGAGATGGGTAGCGATAATGAAACAGAGAAGAGTGCGAAGGAGAGGAAAAAGGTCATTGCTTTAGCCCCCATTGCCAAGCCTTTAGCAGGAAAGAAGCTTTGTAAGAGAACCCTCAAGCTTGTCAGACGTGGTAAAAATACCCTCTCTCTCCCTCTCGCTTATACTCTCATATCTCCTTCTCTTTGAGGTTCCTCCTAAACCCCATTTTGGTTTCTCTCTCGCTCTCTGACTTTTTGAAACTTGGTTTTGGGTTTTTCTGTTTCTCTCTCCAATAATGTACTCTATTTATCTTCTCTCACTCTATATGTTTCTATTTGTTTTATCTGAAGTTTGGTTTTGGGTTTTCCAGCTTCTGAGTCGAAGTGTTTGAGGAGGGGGGTGAAGGAAGTAGTGAAGAGCATCAGACGTGGTAACAAAGGGTTCGTGATTGCCTCTTCTTCTACTCAGTAATAATTTATAGTTTTAAAATTCCATTGATTTTTATTAGGATGGTATTTGGATGAGTTTTAATACGTTTCATTGTTGTTGTAGTTATTATTGTTACTGTTGTTTTTCTTTTTTTAAATTGTTGGTGTTACTTTTTCGAAGAAAATTCTTTTGCAGTATTTGGCTGGAATATTTATTCTTTGCAAACTGCATGTTGAAACCTGATGTTCTACTTGTTTAACGAAGTTTCTCATGGAGTAGTAGTGCAATTTTTTTATTTAATTTTGAGATGTTTCACGTTATTTTACAAACAAATGAATTTAGAATTTGTTTGCTTATTGTCTATCTCTTTTGGTATTTCTTCAATGAATTTTAATTATTCTTGAGTGATGAATGCCTATCACATTAATCCATTATCAACCATATGGAAATTATTTGGACAGTTTCATGCAATCATTCTTCAGAAGCATTAATCTAAAATTCCAAATGATAAGTGACAGATCAGTCATTGGAAAGAGAGTATATGTAAATCTGTATATCCATATTTGTGTTCAAACTTGACCATTGTGTCGGTTGTCGAAGCTTAAAAAATCTTGAAATTCATTCAGAACTAGTAAAATAGCTCAGTCGAAACTGACTTGGTCCATCAACTTGGGTTTCAAATACTCACCTTGGCAGCAGATGTAATAGACCACAGGCGCTTTACATGCTTTGATAGGAGTGCTAGACAGAGGCCTTCTATTCATCTGCGATGCACGTACTATCCCTGCTGCTTGCAATTCCCAATAGCAATTCGAATTTCTCATTTTTGAAATGAAGTTGAAAATTCACAGTCATCAATTGGTGTATAGATGTCAATTTTCTTATCACATTGTGTGTACATTGTGTGTTCGATACTATGCCTCAAAGCATTCATAGCAAACTTGGGTGAAACTCAGGATGTTGGGCTACGTGAGGACTATATCAAGGTTTCCATCTGGTTAAAAGTATATCATCTTTGATGAGTGTTTCTATATTTCATAATTAGATGCTTGTTTTCTATATTGGTTGCTATACTAGGAGTCGAGGACAAGCTGTGACTAGGTACCAAAAAGAAAAAACCCTTCCCCTCTCAATCTCATGCTTCTTTAAAGATCCTCTTAATCACACATTTTCAAATTCTTTGAAACAAATAGAACCAAATTTGCCCCATTTTGATTACCATGTGGTGTTGATCTCGAATCCACCCACCAAGAATTAATAGGTCAGTAAACAAGCATAACCTTACTACTCGAACATAAGTATTGTTTTGATATGGTTGTCACCACGACTCTCTTACATTTAAACTGAGAGAAATCTGCTGTCATGTCTTGAGTTCCAAGCCATCTATTGTTGGGGTGTTTTGGTATAAATTTTTATTGCTGTCACCCTTTCCATGTAAATCCTTCTCTGTGTCCCTTAAAATGTATGCTAGAATCAATTTAATGATTCATGAGACATGGATAAAATCATGCCCATTATCCATGGTAAGGTTGTCTCATCAATAGGGACATGTTTGGTTCATCGGAAATCTCTCTAGTAAAAAGATAGCCCTTGATCAAGCCGATTTTTCATGTTTGGTTTGTGGGACATCTCTCTCTAGGAAATCTCCATGGGCACTGCTATGCAAGATGTGGGAAAATGTATCCCCAAGGAGGTATGAAGCCGATTTCTTGGAAATTCCCTTGTGAAGAGAGATTTTCGATGAGCCAAATGACAGTTTGAACAAGGTTTTTTCCTGGTATGGAAGATTTGAGCTTTGGAGGAGAACTTGAAACAAGTCACTTAAGTTGTGACATTCAAGATTTAAGGCTTTTAACTCTAACTTTTTCACATCCTCTGTGACAGCGTTGTCTTCGTGCAACCATATCAATTGTGAGGTACTTTCGTATTTTGAATGCTTGAATATATCCTTAACAGTGACATGATTAAGAATCTTTGTCAAGGTGCCAAGCATGTTGTTCCTTTCTGATAGATAATCTTGATCCAGTTGTCGTTGAAATTTTGCCTTTTCAACTTGATTGGAGGTGTGGGAACCTAATGAGGTCCCTCCATTTAGGATGCAGTGATGCACATTGAGCATGGGAAGTTTAGTGCATTGTATATGTTGTTGGAAGAATTAGAGTCTGTCTTTCTTTCATGCACTTGCTCTGCTTGTGATGGGATGGTTTGGCCTCCATACTGCAGTGGATCATCTCTATGAGATCGTTTCTCTCTTTCCTTCAGGTGTCTAATTATGATGCTATTCGATGAGGGTCCTATCGTCCATTCTGGCTCCACCATGAGTTGTTGCTTTTGATTAGCTGGTTACTCTAGAGAAGATTCTTACTGGTGGTCACCTACACCATCGTGGCTCTCAGTTTTCCTACATGTGCCATCATTGCTGGGAACTATGAATCATGGATACTTGTATATGCTCAATGTGTTGGAGTCATATTGTTCCACACCATGCAATATCCTATAAAAGGACTATAGATGTGGTGATATATTGGGCTATGATGATACCTTTTTCCAGTTTGAGCCCAATAGTTTATTACAGATTGGGTTGCCACTGCTCTTAAGGTGAAATGCCAGTCTAGACTGTGCCATTGCCTGTCCCCACCACTATCTCATCCATTAACTTTATTTTGTTGGGAGTTCCATGCGAAATTCAGGCCCAACGAGGGTGGGTTGGCGTGTTCAAGAGTAATATGGGCCGGGTTTTTAAATCCTTCTTGGCCCCTATTGGCTCTCATGACTCGACTACAGTAGAGGCCTTGCTTTGTTGTTGGAGTTGAGGATCTTTGCGGCATCAGTCTTGGTGCCACGTATTGTAGAAGGTTAACTCTCATAAATGTCATTCAATGGTAATCAAACGATTCCCCTTTACCGTTGCATATGGCAGTACACCCATTGGCAGTTATCAAGTTAAATTAGAAATTCCCACCAAAGTTTGAAGTCCCATCAACACAAGTACATTAATAATTCTCAACAGTAGTAGTGGTAGTGGTAGTGGTAGTGGTAGTGGTAGTGGTAGTAGTATGGGAGGAGAAGTACTACTATTACTACTACTACTACTACTACTACTACTACTACTACTACTACCTACTATTACTAACTACTACTACTACTGCTACTACTACTACTACTACTACTACTTACTACTACTACTACTACTACTTAGTAGTAGTAGTATTGGAGGAGAAGTGCTACTACTACTACTTAGTAGTAGTAATTGGGAGGAGAAGTACTACTACTACTACTACTACTACTACTTAGTAGTAGTAGTATGGGAGGAGAAGTACTACTACTACTACTACTACTTAGTAGTAGTATGGGAGGAGAAGCAAAATAATGATTCAATGAAAGTACTTGGATGAGTGGGTAGTATGGGAGGAGAAGCGCAAAATAATGATTCAATGAAAGTACTTGGATGAGTGGCCATGTTGGAAATCATTGCAACCTTCCATGGTTTTATAACCAATGTTGCAATGGCAGGCGTGTCGAGATATTTTGACGTGTTGGACATAATGAAAGTACCTGGATGAGTGGCCATGTTGGAAATCAACCTTTCATGGTTTTATAACCAATGTTGCAATGGCAGGCGTGTCGGGATATTTTGACGTGTTGTACATGGTCATTTTCCAACACGCTTCTTAACATGTCAGACATGGCTCAAGCATGTCTACAATGTATCTTAAAGGAAACTTCTTTCAGACACAATTCTTGGCATGTCTACTGTTGACGTGTGTGTTTGTGCCCTTGTAACACTGCTTGTACTGAAGTACACTTGGCTAGGTTGGCTTTCTTGAACAACATCTATGAAGGGCGAGAGGCATGTCCTCTTAGAGGGACAACTAATTCATAGCCAAAAGTAACTTGTTTCCATAGTCCAAATAATCGTTCCATCTAGGGTTTGAAAACTCGCCGAGTCAAGGCGGACTCGTCCGGTTTGACTTGGGAATCGTCGGCTAGCAAGCCGGTTTTGCAAAAAAATCGGGAATCGCCCGTGTCCAGAGAGAACCGGGCGATTCCCGGCGATTCCCAATAGTGAATCGCGAGTCTCACCGAAAATTTTTGGGTTTACACGTGGCCGCCTCACGAGAGCAACACGTGGCACTTAAAAATCCTCCACACGTGGCAATTCACCTCACTCGTATGCCCCCCTCGCTTTTCTACACGCGCAGCTGATTGACTAGTACGCAACACTTTATAGAGAACAAAGGGTCGCTCATCCTTCGATGTGGGATAATTCTTACAAAAATTCATTCAAGCAAGATGATTGAATATATATTATATTATAGAAGCTAATGAATCACATCAGGCGATGTGGTGGTGTTGGTTGACAACCTTGAATTTTCGGTTGGCGTCTTGAGTTCGAACCCCGCGTGTCGTCGTTTATATAATACAACATTTTTTTAAGATAAAGATAAAAAATAGAGATAAAGATAAAAAATAAAAAGCTTTTCAAGATAATGAATAAAAAGCTTGAAATAAAATAGAAAAAATAAAAAACTTTTCTTGTTGTAAAAAAAGCTTAAAAAATAAAAAATAAAAAGCTTTTCAATATAAAGATAAAAAATATAATACAACACTTTTTTATTTTTCTTGTAAAAAAAATATAAGGTAATATAAAAAGTATTTCTTGCAAAAAAATAAAACAAAAGGCATAAAAAAAATTTTTGACGACAAAAATAAACAAAGGCAGAAAATACTGTTGTAAAAAAATAGAAAAAATAAAAAATAAAAGGCTTTTCAAAATAAAGATGAAAAATATAATACAACATTTTTTTATTTTTCTTGTAAAAAAAATACGAGGTAATGTAACAAGTATTTCTTGCAAAAAAATAAAATGTACTTTGATAACATCATTTTTTTATTTTT